AACAGATGCAAATGTGGAGTTCACTGGAATATGGTACAATGGTCATCCAACATTGATATTTGGAAATTCTGAAAAGGTTACAGGAATCTGTTTGGAGGAAAAAAAACAGAGCTCTGTCCTGACAAGTGGTTTCTCCACCATGACAATGACCTGCACATGATGCGGTAAGTGTTCACTGCCCCAAAAATCCATTCTGAAACTTGACGATCGTATTCCCTTGACTTAGCACCCTGTGGCTTTTGGCTGTTTCCCAAACAAAAGGACACAGTTTTGATGACATTCCAGATATCCAGTGCACCACAGCAAAGATACTGCAGAGCATTCCAGAAAACAAATGTCTCAGGTAGTGGCACAGTAACCTAGAAAAAGTGCGCCACTTCACAAGGGGACTATTTTGAAGGTGACAACAGCCGCTAGTGTAAAGGGAAGCAAACGTTTTCTTTTACAGTCCATTCCGAGAACTAAATTGTCAGACCTCGTAACTGCAAAAATACTCACTGAGTCTGTAACTTGGGCACAAAAATTAAATAATAATAATAATAAATAAAATAATATAAAAAAAATGGGTGTGAAAAAAATAATTTGGTCTTACCAGACTTCCAGTTGGAGGACCTGTAAGAGAGAAAGAAGATCTAGGTGTACTAAGATGTTACTAAATACAACATTTATTGATTACATTTACAGCACTATCAATTTACATACATATTGTACATTCACATCAGTCCCTGTTCTCAAGGGGTGTACAAGCTAAGGTCCCTAACTCACATTCATACAGATACTAGGGACAATTTAGACAGGAGCCAATTAACCTACCAGCATGTCTTTGGGGTGTGGGAGGAAACTGGAGGATATCCACACAGGCACAAGGAGCACATGCAAGCTGCAGGTAGGTAGTGCAGGGGTTGGGATTCTAACCAATGACTGTAGTGCTGCTAGACGGGAGTGCTAACCATTCAGCCACTGTGCTGTCTGACATCTCACTTCCCCCTTAGTACAATGTGCAGGTACTCAAGAATTTTTTTTTTTTTCAGAACCAGTTAGGTCAGCAGTCTAAGACTTCTCTGGTCACACAATGCTTTAATATGAACTCATGCCATTTAAAAACATAATCCAACCAACCACCCCTAGCACTGGAATGTCCGTACCTGTGTGAATAATCAGGGATTTTCGAATGTTTTCAATTTTTCTGCATATCTCTTTCTTGCTGATCCAGTCCAGCTCTGATCGTGATATTCTGAATTGTTGAAGAGTTTTGGAAAATTGGTTTTCTTCCCACTTAGAAATCCATTCCTCCTCCAGATTATCCGCATTCCCGATCACCACAATCACCTTCTCTGCTCCTAACACATATAAACCATGTTTAACAAAACACTCATTAAACTCTGTGATAGCCACCTGAAGAAAGCCAAGAACTGTTGAGGGTACATTTGGGGGGCACAGAACACAGCTAACAATATTTCTATGGAGGGCCAACCAATAAATCTGGCTTCTGCATGTCAGACAGTAAGAAAATTGTATTCTGATACACAACCTGAGATTGTTCTCCATCTTGTGTTCTTCTGCATGCCATGTGCACAGCTGGTAAAGTAACTGAAAGGATCTAGATAACCTCCATTGTGTTAATGTACGCCATTTTAAGTATTAAGTTAGCTTTTTGTAGATATATTAGAAGTTTAATGAAACTGTTTTAGTTGCTCAAGGATGTATCAACAGAGGCTAACATGACCCTGACAATGTCTTTGTCTGGTTGTTTCTCAGAAAGCTAGCCAAAACAATTTGTACCAAGAAATGTATATGTATGTTTCATGTAGTTAGCTCATGATGGAAACTTACAAGTTACAGTTTTTGAAACTCGCTCCCCCCTCCCTTATTATTTCTGTATCCTATATAATCTTAGTAATGTCTAATAAACTTTGAACATCTCTGAACATAAGCTGCCGTTATTTCCGTGTTCAAGGGGTGTTCCCAGAATTCTGCTGATAAACCAGGAATCTCTCCACAGACCGGGGGTCTCTGAGGGGATAAGAAAATCATCCTTTCAGTAACCTGTCCTAATATCAAAGGTTTAAAACTACAGAAATGGCTGTAAAAGGCGCCTTCATTTTAGATATCTTCTGAGGTGCCCGGGGCCATTAGGATTTTGAGATGTCCATTGTGCAACACAAATCAGAGAGAAGTGACCAGAATCTTAGTCTCCCCCCTTCTTCCTCTCAGCTCTTTCTCATGATCCAGAACTATGATGGAGAACCCCATGGACAAAAATAAAGTGGGAAAGGGCTAGAGGCAGGGGCGGACTGACCATTTGGAAACTCAGGCACTGCCGTGGAGCCCGCTGTCAGTAGGGGACCCCATGAGATGCCCCTGGTACCTTTTTCATAGGCTTTCTTGAATTTGGGCAAGGACACAGGGGCCCCATGATCCTCTATTGCCCGGGGGTCCCATGATTTGTCAGTCTGCCCCTGGCTAGAGGTTGCAGATCCAAACTTAAAACTAAACATTAATCTTATATATTTGGGTTTCCATGTTTCTCCCTACCCTCTCATCAACATACTAAGGAAACAGTGAAATAAAACCTTTACATTTTCATTATATACCTTATTTTAGACAAATGATGTCATCAATGGACTTTTGTGCTTCTCTATGCAAATGCAGGCAGATTATGGATGAAAGGGGTTGGTAGGGTGTTGTACATAGACCTCTGCCTCAATACTCTTTTCAAGAGCCCTCAGCCCTGATGCAAGCAGTGGGTGGGGTCTTGAGAGGAGTTATGCAAATTATTTGTGCATGTCAGTTTGTTGAAGTGGGTGTTCCTAGGAAAATGGCATTTTCATGCAGGTTACCTTAGGTGGTGCCCACATGTAATGCTGAGCCTCCATGACTGAAATATCATTCAACTAATGAAAGAGGTGGGTCAGGAACAGTCAGGCTGGGAGGAAAGGCTGATGTTGCTGGATATCCCCCAGCCAGGAAATGAGGCGGAGCGTTATCTGACCTGCTGCACCTTCTAATGCACATTGTAAGCTCACAGTGTGCAGCGAAATCAGTAAACAATTTCAGGCCAGGAGAGGATCCGTTTAAAAAACTGAATGGAAGTGTGGAGGCCAGATTTAAAAATTCTGTTTTAAGATATTGATAATCATTCTGTGCTTGGCTCAGGGCAGCAATGCTGGAAGACGCTCCCTTGAGTTGGAGTTCACCTTTAGCTTTGCATAGTAGGGGACTCCACATCAAGTCTAATGGAATATACTGGTGTCTGATTTATCGCCATATATACAGTTCAGCACATAACACAGGTTTACTTCCAATTCTGTTCCATGCCTTGCCTCTGTGAATGCCTTGTATTTAATTTCTTTTTGGAAAGTAAGACTTTATATAAATAGTAAAAAAAGATATACAATGATTAAAACGTATAACATGCCCCAAACCAGGGGCGGACTGACCATTGGGACTGCCCGAAGGCCTGGGGTCAGTAGGGGCCCCATGAGATGCCCTTGGTACCTTTTTCATAGGCTTTTTTGAGTTTGGGCAAGGACACAGGGGCCCCATGATCCCCTATTGCCCGGGAGCCCCATGAGTTGTCAGTCCGCCCCTGCCCCAAACCATTACATGCCGTGTTAATTTGAAGAAAGAAAATGACTAAGACTAGTAAGATAGCGTGTTTCACCTTTTTTGGTAATGCAGTGCTCTAGGTAGCGCCCCATCTTGTATAATGGTTTGTGAGATTTGGGCGCTGAGTAGAATATGACAACTGAGGATTGGTCCACTAGAGACGTCCATTCCAAGTCTTTTTTGAGGGATGAATAGGACAACAGATGGACAATTATGGTTTTGATTACCCATCAAGTAGGAACTTATATTAGTGGCCTCTTGGCCCAAATCCCAGGACAAAACCAACAACCTGAAATAGAGAAATAAATATCACATCAGAACCAAAGGAATATACAGTGTATCTACAGTGTGAGATCACCTAAGATACTGCTGCCTCTGACTGCTAGTCTTGCCAGATTTTAATGGAGATTCGGTGATGTCACTTCTGTGTTGCTCTCTGTTCTCTTTGCTGGAGAGGAAGCCCTACTGAAGACCCACAGAGAAAGGATATTTCTACTTCTGTATCATCCACTCTGTGAATCTGTGCTTCCTCCACCCCTATTATTACCCCAACAGTCTTCCTATTACAGTCATCAGTGGGCAGCAAAGGTCTGCCTCTACCAAAATGGCTGCCTCTGTACAGAGACACAGTGCAGAAGAAGACATGGTAAGTTAGCAATAAAAAAAGATCAACTGCTGTGAGAATTGAGAATCAAGTTAAAAAGGAACATTATAGAGTTAAAGTTAACTGGTTATTATTTGGCGTGTATTAAAATACATGTAAACTTTAGCTGTATGACATTTGTTTTGCTAAAGCAACTTATATTTCCTTCAGCCACCTTTCAGTCACTTCCTGTCTACATGCATTCCACTGATGGCTACGTGACATTTTCCATGTTGAGTTTCTTGATGGTGACAACACTGGACTATGTCTGGGTAATGTGTGTTAAAACAGTTTCTCCATTGAAAACAAATGTGATAGGGTGACAACACAGGAAAACGTATTAAACACAGGGACAGAGTGTTGTCATCCTATAACAGGAAAAGCCTGAACAAGGTTCTCCATGGCAGGATCATCCAGTGTTACTAAACCCCGGACCCTGCATTCCCTATATCCTCTCTCCCCGGACCCCGCATTCACTATATCCGCTCTCCCTGGATATCCGCTCTCCCCCGCATTCACTATATCCACTCTCCCCGGACCCTGCATTCACTATATCTGCTCTCCCCAGACCCCGCATTCACTATATCGGCTCTCCCCGGACCCCGCATTCACTATATCCACTCTCCCCGGACCCCGCATTCACTATATCCACTCTCCCCGGACCCTGCATTCACTATATCTGCTCTCCCCAGATCCTGCATTCAATATATCCGCTCTCACCAGGACCCCGCATTCACTATATCCACTCTCCCCGGACCCCGCATTCACTATATCCACTCTCCCCGGACCCTGCATTCACTATATCTGCTCTCCCCAGATCCTGCATTCAATATATCCGCTCTCCCCGGACCCTGCATTCACTATATCCACTCTCCCAGGACCCCGCATTCACTATATCCGCTCTCCCCGGACCCCGCATTCACTATATCCGCTCTCCCTGGACCCCGCATTCACTATATCCGCTCTCCCCAGACCCCGCATTCACAATATCCACTCTCCCCGGACCCTGCATTCACTATATCCGCTCTCCCCGGACCCTGCATTCACTATATCCGCTCTCCCCGGACCCCGCATTCACTATATCTGCTCTCCCCGGACCCCGCATTCACTATATCCGCTCTCCCCAGACCCCGCACTCACTATATCCGCTCTCCCCGGACCCTGCATTCACTATATCTGCTCTCCCCGGACCCTGCATTCACTATATCCGCTCCCCCGACCCCGCATTCACTATATCCACTCTCCCCGGACCCTGCATACACTATATCCGCTCTCCCCGGACCCCGCATTCACTATATCCGCTCTCCCTGGACCCCGTATTTACTATATCCCCTCTCCCCGGACCCTGCATTCACTATATCTGGTCTTCCTGGTCCCCGCATTCCCTATATCCGCTTTCCCCGGACCCTGCATTCACTATATCTGCTCTCCTTGAACCCTGCATTCACTATATCCGCTCTCCTCGGACCCTGTATTCACTATATCCGCTCTCCCTGGACCCTGCATTCACTATATCCGCTCTCCCCGGACCCCGCATTCACTATATCCGCTCTCCCTGGACCCTGCATTCACTATATCCGCTCTCCCTGGACCCCGCATTCACTATATCCGCTCTCCCCGGACCCCGCATTCACTATATCCGCTCTCCCCCGGACCCCGCATTCACTATATCTGGTCTCCCTGGACCCTGCATTCACTATATCTGCTCTCCCCGGACCCCGCATTCACTATATCCGGTCTACCACAGTACACAGAATATGGAAATGCAATTGTTTTAGTAAAATATAAACTGCTAAATATTTTTTCTCATCAGCAGTATATAGCAGTCTTGTGACTTCTATCAGCGCATCCCGCAGAAAACTGGGTAAATCTTGTAGGAGGAGTTTTCATTCTCCTCTGATTGTCCTATGAGGCTGCATAACCCCTGAGACTCTGTTTAGACCTGTGCTGATCACGTGCACTCTCCAAAAGAGAAAAAAAACTCTCTAACAATACACACCAAACAGGGCATGTGCATAGTGACTCCTAGAGCTCTGTACTATCAGTAGCTGGATTGGGGACTGTGAAAGATGGGTAGGATCAGAGAAGACAGGATCAAACATCCTTTTTACACAATGCGGAGGATTAACCCCTTAGGTTGTACAGTGAGTATAACAAGCACGCTTTACTGCATATACAGACTGAATTTACTGTTGCAGCTTTAGTAAGACTTCAACATTTAAAGGTTTTTTAAGAGTTGAGTAACTCAGTTTACATCTACTTTTGTGCACATTTTAGGAGCATTAACCCTTCTAAAGTGTAATCTGAAAAAGCAAGAATAGAATTTCAGTTTTCTGGAGCAGTGGTCTCCAAACTGTGGCTCGGGGGCCAGATGTGGCCCTTGGTGTGCCTTTATCAGGCCCTTGGGTCACTATTCCAGCAATTGACCTCATCGAAGGGGCACTATTCCTCCCATTGATACAAACAATGTGGCACTATTCCTCCCATTCAAACCATTGCCAGATCTAGGGGGGTGCTGGAGTGGGCTGTGCCCCCCCCCCCAGATTTAAGGAGATATTTGGGGAGAGGATTTATACTAGGAGTGGGGATTTGGGGGGATTTGTACTAGGGGGAGATAATTTTGTACTAGGGGGTGGAATTTGTGAGGATAGTTTGATTTTTTTGGGATTTGAACTGGAAGATGGGATTGGGGGGAAATATTTGTGCAGGGAGGAGGACTTGGACTGTGAGGATGGGGAATTTTTGCATTTTTGGTTGGGTAGAATTTGGGCTTGCATAGAGGGTGAACGTGTGTTGTTTAGTGCTGTTTTTTTGGGGGAGGAGGGGGATGGAAGGTGGGGGCGCAGTTTGCTAGATGATCTTGTCCCGGCACTGCACACAAGGCACTTAACAGATCTTCTCCTCCCCACATAACACGTTGCTGAGATCAGATTCCCTAATACAATGTGTAGCTGGCTGCAGTTGCAGTTCTGACCTGTGAAATTCCCTGATTGGATTGGCAGCTGCAGTAGCCGGCTACACATTGTGTGGAGGGATACCGATCTCTGCTATGTGCCGTGTGGGGAGGAGGAGATCTCTTAAGTCCCCTGGCAGCAGTGACCCTGTCCTCAACTCCGCTGACCACTGTCTTCCACCATGCTGACCCTGTACCCTGCCCTGCGAACCCTTGTCTTCTATCCTGTTGACCCCTGTCTTTTGCCATGCTAACCACTGCACACTGACTAGATAACCCACTGTACACTGCCCTACAAACTAATGGTCTCTGTACACTGCCCTACAAATTAATGGCCTCTGTACACTGCCCTACAAACTAATGGCCTCTGTACACTGCCCTACAAACTAATGGTCTCTGTACACTGCCCTACAAATTAATGGCCTCTGTACACTGCCCTACAAACTAATGGCCTCTGTACTAATGCCTCTGTACAACTAATGGCCTCTGTACACTGCCCTACAAATTAATGGCCTCTGTACATGCCCTACAAACTGTAATGGCAAACTCTGTACATGCCCTACAAATTAATGGCCTCTGTACACTGCCCTACAAACTAATGGCCTCTGTACATGCCCTACAAATTAATGGCCTCTGTACATGCCCTACAAATTAATGGCCTCTGTACACTGCCCTACAAACTAATGGCCTCTGTACACTGCCCTACAAACTAATGGTCTCTGTACACTGCCTTACAAACCGCTGACCCTGTCCTCTGCTCTGCCCCTGTATACTGCTCTAATGACTCTTATACACTTCTCTGTCAACCTAGCATCCTATGCCCCCCTGACATTTTTCACTGCACCCCCAAATCAGACAGGCTAGACCCAGCCCTGATTCAAACCAATGATTGGGCGTTGTTTATGCCCACTGATGCCAGGACATTTTCTATTCCTACCAGTCACAGCCTAGTCCCCCTAAGTTCTGAAGGACACTAAACTGGCCATGTGCTTAGAAAGTTTGGAGACATCTGATCTAGAAGATGGCCACAGGTTGGTATAAATGTTTCTTTTCTTGGAATGTTCTGAGGATAATAAATGGACAGTATAAATGTAAAATGTTACAATTGCCTTTCCTTACAGATACCTGCAAATAATATCACTGAAAATAAATCATTACTTAGTGTGACATTTGCACTTTGCTCCTCATTTAGATCTCCATTTACCTGTGATACTTCCTCTTGCAGAATCTGGCACAGGATCTCTGCATGACGGTTATGGTATATGAGCTAGAAAATACACATGGGGTTAACCCGTGTAAATTTAACTCCTTCCCGCCAGCTGTACACATATATGCGGGTGGGCCTTAACACCAAGAGGGCACATATATGCGTACCTAAAGATAAAAAGAACTGTGCAGAGAGAACACGCCGTGTGCGCTCCAGACACCATTACCAGTGCTAACGGAAAGCTCACAATCTCTGCTTGTGATCAGGAGCTTTCCGATCATATGACCACTGTGACAGCCAATCACAGCAGTTGCATGATCAGAAATCCTGCCTCCTGGCATCTAAAACCCTTTAAAGCGGAGTTCCAGCTGAAAAATAAAATCAGCAGCTACAAAAACAAAATATTCGGGTACCCCCTCCCCCTGCTCCCCAAAGGTGCCAATACTTAACGGCGATCGGGGGGACAAAGGCTTACAGCAGAACTTCCCCTTTTGGGTGGAGCTCCTCTTTAAATATATTTTGCCTATAATACCCTGAATTTTAGATGCTTCAATGACATAGCATAGAATCTGATCTGGAATCTAATGGTGGAGCATGCGGGCAAATCTTTGTGATCCTTGTGGCACCCTGCAGAATTGTGTAAATGATGTAAACCAAGGATCAAGGCTCAGTATGAATAAATGTGATCATTCGCATTTCAAGATTAGAACATGGAACCTAGAATAGAACAAAGAAGAGTGATGGCAGGAAAAGACCAAATGGTCCATCAAATCTGCCCCATTAAATATATATATATATATATATATATTCAGTCATAGCTAAAAACATAGTCCCCCCAGCATTTCTGTCAGGTAATGCACCACTTCGCCCAGAAAATTGTTGAAGTTACAAATGTTTCGGCATTCTCATGTTTATTTCTTTTGTTTGTATTGGTATGACACAGAAAAGTGGAGAAACTAAAAGCCAAATTTTTTTGCCATGCAAAACCCCAGATATGGACTGGACAAAATTGTTGGCAGTTTCTCAAAATTGAAAGAAGCAATTGCATTCCAAAGCTGTGATGCTCCTGTAATTTGTAATTAAACTCACCTGTATCTATTAACAGGTGCTGACAATATAGAAATCACACCGACAACCAGGTAAAATGGTGAAAAATTGACTCTTTCTGTTGTGTGTCTCTGTGTGCCATATGGAGCATGGAGAAGAAAAAGAGCAGCAAAGAATTGTCTGAGGATTTCACAATGAAAATTGTGGGAAAGCACGGATAACCTTAAGGTTACAAGTCCAGAGATCTTAACGTTCCTGTGTCCACTGTGTGCAACATTGTCAAGAAGCTTAAAGCCCATGGCACTGTAGCTAATCTCCCTGGATGTGGATGAAAGAGAAAAAATGATCAAAGAGCAATGAAGGATGGTTCAAATGGTGGTTAAAGAACCTCGATCAGCTTCTAGACAAATTCAAGCTGACCTTCAGGCACCAGGTACAACTGTGGCAGCTCGCACTATATGTCCCCATCTGAAGGAAAACACTAAGGTAGGAGACCCAGGAGGACCCCACTGCTGACACAGAAATATAAAAAAGCCAGATTGGAGTTTGCCAAAACTTACCTAAGGATGCCAAAATCCTTTTGGGAGAATGTGTTGTGGACAGACAAAACAAAATGGCAGCTTTTTGGTAAAGCCCATCATTCTACTGTTTTCAGAAAAAGAAATGAGGCCTTTAAGAAAAGAATCCAGTCCCTACAGCAGGGCTCAAAATATCAAGTTCTGAGCTACTAGCCAGGCCTTAGGAGGTACTCGCCACCAGTTTCCTCACCCAAACCCTACCCTTTCCTGCTCCTATTTCTGCCCCTGAACACACCCTTGTAAAATTATCTCATGAAATGATACTGTTAAATGTTTTTATGCCCCCCCCCCCCCCCCCCCCCCCGACCAGGCCACTTTTTGTGTTACGGCACTGTGTTACTTTAACTGACAATTACACGGTCATGCAGCACTGCACCCAAATTAAATTTACATCCTTTTCTCCACACGAATTGAGCTTTCTTTTGGTGGTATTTGATCACCTATGGGTTTTTTTTTGCACTATGAAAGAAAAAAGACCGACAAGTTTGAGAA